CTTGAAATTTTGTGAGATGTCACCAGAGATTCTGGCATTTCGGGCAAAATAAATTTATATTAAAAAAATCGATTCAGGATTTTAATGAATCGATTTTACGTTATCCAAGCCAGAATCGATTTTAATCGATGAATCGATTATAAAAACCCACCCCTAGTGCTTACAGGGTATAATCATGTCTTTACAAAATACTGCATAAGAGCTAGTAACATCCATGGAAACAAGCCAGCACAGTAGAAATCCAACCACAATGAAGAAAAAAGAATCCATGATGTTCTCACTGTTGTGGAGCATGTGTCACTTTGTAAGAAAACTGTCACTTCCTTCAACCAAAACACATGCCAGCAATAGAAACAAAAAGAAACGATAAGAACTTAAAAACTTAGGACGCCAAGCTCTCATTCACTCCCGGTCGCTGCGTGCGCATGCGCCCAGGGTTATTACCATTTCTCCCACTTTGGCTCATGTGGTTGCTCAAACTAATTTTCTCTTCAACATACAACATTTGCGCTTGCAACTTTATTTTTTTACGCACGCACTAAAATAACACCATATCATCTCTGTACGCTGATGAGTCGTTGCTGCTGATGAGTCCAACCACGGTTGTGTCGTCAGGGAACTTGATGATGTTGTTAGAGCTGTATAGGGCGGTGCAGTCGTCTGTCAGGAGGGTGGACAACAGTGAGCTAAGAACACAGCCCTGAAGAGCTGGGGGATGTTGTTGCTGATTTGGACTGAGGCCTCTCTGACAGGGAATCTAGTATCCAGTTAAAGAGAGAGGTGCTCATACCCAACTTGCTGAGTTTGTCAAACAGTTTTTGGGAGATAATGATGTTGAATGCTGAACTAAGGTCTATGAACAGCATTCTGACATAGGTGTCTTTCTTGTCCAGGTGGGAGAGGGAGAGGTGAAGTGCAGTGGAAATGGCCACTATGCAAACTGCAGTGGATCCAGTGAGCAAGAGAGGTTGCTTTTCACATGTGCCATGACAAGTCTCTCGAGGCACTTCATGATGATAGGGGTCAGGGCGTTGGGACGGTAGAGGATTTCTTTGGCACCAGGATGATGGTAGTTGACTTGAATCACGTTAAGACAGCCATCTGGCTCAGTGATGAGTTGAAGATGTCTGTGAAGACATCAGCCATCTGATCAGCGCAGTCTCTCACGACCTGGGATGTTGTCTGGTCAAGCAGCTTTCTGTGGGTTGAGTTTGGTGAAAGATCTTTTCATGTCGGCTGCAGGCAGAGAGATGGTCTGGTTGGTGGTGGGGGTGTGGGTTTCTTTGCTTGTGTGTTGTTCAGTGTATCAAACTGTGCGTAGAACTTGTTCAGCTCCTCAGGGAGTGTGGTACCTCCATCACAGCTGCTTGGTGCAGGCTTATACTGTGTGATGGCCCGAATGCCCTGCCATAACCTGCAAGAGTCTTTTTGTGTTGTGGAAGTGGCTCTGGATCTTTTATGCATGTACAATTTGCTTGTCGGATGGTACGAGAGAGGTTGGCTCTGGCTGTTCTGAGAGCTGTTTTATCTCCAGACTGGACAGCAGCATCTCTCGCTCTCAGACATGCACGTACTGCTGCAGTGAACCAGGGCTTCTCATTGGCTCTTGTCTTGGTGTTTTTGGAGACCGTTATATCCCCTGAGCACTAACTGATGTAGTAGGTCACAGATTCAGTGAACTTGTCCAGGTCCATCTTTTTAAACATGTTCCACTCTGTGCACTCAAAACAGTCCTGAAGCGCTGAGATAGCCTCACTTAGCCAGACTCTGATAGTTTTTCTGGAAGGTCTTGTGCGTTTCAGTAGTAATATGTATGTGGGCAGCAGCATCACAGTGCCATGGTGATGTGCCGATTTGCGGGCGCACAGCTGCCTTGTAGGCCCCGTGCACATTGGTGCACTTTGTCCAGGCAGTTCTCTCCTCTGGTTGGGAAGTTCTTGGTTGATGGAATTTGGGGAGAACTGTCTTGAGGTTTGCGTGGTTGAAGTTGCCGGCTACGACAAAAAAGCCTTCCTTGTGCACAGTCTTGAGCTCGTTGATAGCATGAGACAGTTCTGCTAGTGCCAAGTTAGTATTGGTGTGAGACACTGCTATAACAAGTATCAAGGAAAACTCTCTTGGTAGGTAGAATGGGCAACACTTTACAATTAAAGACTCACTTCAGCCAAATTTGGGGACCACAGTTTGTTGATGTAGATGCACAAACCACCACCCGAGCTCTAACCAGACAAGGAGGCTTTTCTGTCGGCTCGATAGCATGCTAGCCCGGTTAGCTGGATAGCCTAGTCAGCAATGTCCATGTTCAGGCATGTTTGCGAGGATGAAAACACAATAGTTCTTAACTTCACACTGGGTCAAATGCTGGAGCCACAGATAATCCATTTTACTGTCCAAGCAGCGAACGTTACAGAGCAGGATGGATGGAAGTGCTGGTTGGAACAGTTTAGCCTTTCGCCTAGCGCTAGCGCTGGCATGCTTTCCTCGCTTTTGTTTATGTGTGCAGTGCTTGCATTAGAGCAGCCTCACTGCCTTGGTGGGGAGTGCGGGAGTTAACAAACCCAGACTCCGAAGTTTCTCTCGGCAGATTAGTCATGGAAATTGTGCGGTTTTTCCAGATTCTGAGCAGAAATTGTCTGGTGTAGATGGTACACATTGTACCTCTGTGACGAAACAAAACAAAACAATACATTGTTAAAACACTGAAGAACTGAAGAAGCTTCTTGGATGAGAGGTGAAACGTCTTCAAGCAATTTAAACAAGTCCAGACACTTTTCTTTCCAAGCTCCTTAGACTAAAAAACACTGAATTTTGCCAGAGCCGAGTTAATGATGCCAGGTCAGATAAGAAAAATTATATTAAGCTATGATTCCCATAGCTTTAATACTGGCCGTTGCTTAATGCCCAAATACGAAGATGCATTATGTAGACTGAATCAATAAAAAATTGATTGCTTCCCAGCAGATATCAGTGGAGTCGAGGTAGAGGTCAGAACCAGTCACACGGCGTCCGTTGGTTTAATGAAGGAGGAAGAGGAGGTGAACCAGGAAGAGGAGGTGGTGGAGGAAGAGGAGGTGGATTCCGTGGAAATCATCAGGGTAACAGGGGAGGATGGAGCCCCAAGCAACACACCAGTCTTGGAGAGCATGGAGGGTAAGGTTCTTCATCTTCGCTTTCCACTTTTTCATTTTTATCATACTCTTGGTGACATTATTTTATAACGATTTGCGTGACCCAAATCGCTCCCAGTTCCACGCTCCCAGCTCAAATCTAGAGGTGACAGGGCTTTCTCCATTGCCGCCCCGAGACTCTGGAATAGTCTTCCCCCCTTCATAAAATTCTCTTCATCCTTGGAAGTCTTTAAATCGAATCTCAAGACCTACTTATTTTCCAAGGCTTTCGGATCTCTTTGATATCCTTTTTTTATTCTGTCTATTTGGCCTCTTATCTTATTGGATGGTGTTGTATGTGTATATACGTTATGTTCACATATGTGTGCTTGTGTGTGAATGTGTACAGTTTTGTATATATATGTGCATATTTGCATGTACATTATATGCTATATACTCTTACATGTCTTACAATTCTTTTTTAAAAATGTTTTCTTTCTATTTTAATTCTTTTATTATATTATCCCTCTATTCAGCACTTTGGCCGACACTTGATGTCTTTTAAATGTGCTATATAAATAAAGATGACTTGACTTGACTTGACATTAAAAGTCCTGTTATCTCATTGGATGTAGGTTGGAGCAGACCACAGCTAAGGGCCTGAAGATCATTCTGTGCAAGGGAAACATTCAGGACCAGACTGTGAGTACCTGTGGTGCCATGTAGACCACAATATAAATATAAAGAACCATATTATATGCTAAATTTGGACTAGAACTAACATGAAAGTATAGATTTAGATGATATATGTAAATAAACCAGAATAAAATCTTAATACTGGTTTATTAGATTTTGTGTCATATCTTTATAGTTTTTAATTCTTTTTTGCAATCTTTCCTAGTTTTGCACAGTTCTACTGAACATCATAGCGGCAAAATTTGCTCATTTCAGTTTAATTTTTTGAAAATTCTGAGAATCCTCGTTTCATATCCTTGGCTTTCTATCAGAATTGCAGAAATGCAGAATTTAAGTTGCAGGCCAATTTTTTTCATACACAATACTTGCGTATGAGATCATATGGGGATTTGGTCAAACCATTTTATCCTTTTGTCGCTGAATGTAGTCATTTTCAATTCAATTCAATTCAGGAATTCAGGAACTTTTAACAGGAAGAAACCTCTGGCAGAACCAGGCTCAGGGAGGGGCGGGGCCATCTGCTCTAACCGGTTGGGGCAGTGGTTCCCAAACTTTTTTTGCTGGGCCCCCCTTTGTTTTACAAGAAAAATGCTCGCGCCCCCCGCATGCACGCGCGCACGCACATACACATCCTCCAACCACACACACCCATATTTTTCTCCATTGTGGTTTATTTCACACCTCAAACATTTAGTAAGCAATTAAGCAAATACAAGTAATCTGCAATAAATGACAGGTAGTAATAAAATAAACTACTAACTCTTTTACGCTACGTCCACACCTACACGGGTGATTTTGAAAACGCAGCTGTTTCGTCCACAAGTGTTTGTGAACTAAAAATCAAGAATGTGGGATACTGTTTGTCCGTGATTTGAAGAGCCCAGCGCTGCTCCCGACGAAGGGAAAACCAATCCTGCAGGGAGACCTACCTCGGCACTCGTGCAGGTGAAACCAAAGGGAAGATTTGCTTCACCATATTTTCTAGTCTTTGGCTTAGAATGAAGTTGGTTTGGAAACATATTCAGCTTCATCTCCTGCTTTACGTTTCTGTAGGCACCCCATGCTAGCAGTGTTTTTTTTTTTCCCCCTTTTCATTCCGTGCCCCCCTCTAGGGGGCAGGCCCCACACTTTGGGAAGGTCTGGGATGGGGTGAGAGAAGGAAGACAGGATAAAGACATGCTGTGGAAGAGAGACAGAGATTAATAACAGGATTCAGGGTCACTTGATCCAGCTGTAACTATATGGAAGCTGGTTCCATAGAAGAGGGGACTGAAAACTGAAGGCTCTACCTCTCATTCGCGCCATCGGCCCCTCGATACAGCAGCCGCGCTGCTGTCAGTCTGCCCCAGGGCAGCTGTGGCTACAACTGTAGCTGCCTCCACCAGTGTGTGAATGTGAGAGTGAATGAATAGTGGCATTGTAAAGCGCGTTGGGTGCCTTGAAAAGCGCTATAAAAATCCAATCCATTATTATTATTATTATACTTTTAAATACTCTAGGAACAACAAGTAGGCCTGCAGAGCGAGAGCGAAGTGCTCTAATAGGGTGATATGGTACTACAAGGTCATTAAGATAAGATGGGGCCTGATTATTTAAGACCTTGTATGTGAGGAGCAGGATTTTGAATTCTGGATTTAACAGGAAGCCAATGAAGGGAAGCCAATACAGGAGCAAACATAACAACCATTGATCAAAGACCACTGATCAAGGTCCATGAGTACCATTCACAGAGAGTTGGGGAATGGTTGCAATCACAGTATTGTAAGATGGCGAAAGCTGTATCCATAGGCCCCCTCCTCGATTCAGACATGGTCTTTCCCTTTTCCCATGGTACTCATGGCCATTGATCAGTGGTTGTTGATCAATGTTCATGAGAATTTGCATATAAATGATCAAGGAACTGACCTCCCAGCCCATTGTTCATTCAGTGGTGCTAGTTTCAGTCATTATGCAGATGTACTGTATATAAGGTCGGAAACCTGCAGTCACCTGAAAACATCCAGATGAACAGAATCAACTTTTGGCATAGATTTTTAATGATACATTAAACTAATAAACTGTTTTAAAAAAGTAGAAAACTCACAGTTAACAGGCCAGCTTGCCCAAGATAATACCCTAAAATTATCTTCATATAATGAACCATATTGAAAATATCAGAAGGCTAACATCACTAGGAAATATAGTCAATGAGCCATAGCAATGAAAACAAAGATGCACTGGCTGACAACACGTATCTAGTCATATAATCAAGAATTTAAATGACAATGTTTTTATGCAGCACAGCTTTTGTATTCACTGTAGTGCAGTGTTATCTGCAGTCATTTAGTGCCTATGCCTTTTTAAAGAAAATTTTCTGAACTATTTTTACTTAAAATGAAAGTTTTTGTGATTTAACCTTTGTTCCACAGACTGATGCCATTGTCAACACCATCTCAGAGGACATGAACCTGAACCAGGGGGATTTGTCCAAAGCCATCCTGTCAGCGGCTGGGAGCAGCCTGCAGGACGCCATCTACTCTGCAGCCACAGGGTCCAAGTTGCCATCCGGCAATGTCGTCGTCACAGACGGCTACAACCTCACATGCCAGAAAGTCTTTCATGCCGTTTGTCCATCATGGGACAATGGAGGTGGCAAAGCAGAGGAGGTGAGGCTTCTTATTTAACTTTAACATTGGTCCAGAGATGGATGAATCTGTAAGAATGCGCATGGATGATCTAACCTAACAGTCATCATGTGGTTCACTTTATATGCTTCAATATTTAAGGACAGCACTTTTTAAATTGAATATTTCACTTTTGTATTATTCCCATGAGCCCCCAGAATTTTGGGGAAAAAATATCATAGCTTGACAAAGACAGCAACCACAATGCTTCAGAAAGAATAAAGAGAAGCTGAACGACAGAATTGAGAGTCGTGTATGTTAAAAAGATATACAATGGCCTCAAATCACAACTGCACCTGCAACTCTTTAATTAGGAAGTTTTAGATGCAGATGTAGACATCAGTTCTAAATAAAAATAAATAAACTACAAATATTTGACCTGCATTGAAAATGTCACTTACCCACATTTTTATGTGAGCTGTGAAACTGTGCAGAAAAATGACCTCTGATGCATAAAAACAGTTTTTATTGGGGATTCACAGTGTAGGGGTCATGTTCATGGAATTGTTTGTAAAATCTTTAAAGATTAAATGACAAGTAACCAATTTGCATTAATATATCACATATTCTGTCTGAAATGTCTGAAACACCAGGAAATGCATTTGATCATTTAAGTAACTTCCAATGAAAAGGACACTGTTGTTCCTGAGAGTTCATGCACCATGCTCTTTGTAACCCAGTCACTGAAGTCCAGCCTCACTTTCTCCATCTTATCTCTGTCAGGAGTTAACGTCCATCATCAGATACTGTCTGGAGGAGGCTGAGAAACGTCAGATGGCATCGTTGTCCTTCCCAGCCATCGGGACAGGAAACCTGAGCTTCCCCAGAGCCCTGGTGTCCAAACTCCTGCTGAGAGAGATCCGCTCGTACAGCAGCAGCAGAAACCCTCGCTGTCTGAGAGAGGTGGTCAT